AGAGAGCAAGTGACTTGCCTCAGGTCGGGCAGAGGAGGAATGGGGGCCTCTGTGGGTCTCCCCCAGGCTCTGAGCAGCTGAGCTTCGTTGGCCCAGGCAGCCTAGGAGTGGGGGCAACAGGAGCCCGGATGGCAAAGGGGGGGTGACCGGCCAGCTCCCCCAACCCCTCCACAGACCCGTCTACTGTGCAGGTCCCCAGAGCTCAAGGTCAAGAGGCCGCCCCTCGAACACACTGCGTTTTGCGGTCCCTGGAGGCTGCTGTGCGTGTCTGTCGTGGGCAGTACAAAGACAGGGGAGCGGCAGCCCCGAGGCCAGCCAAAGCGGGGGGTGGGGATCTTGCAGACGGGACCTCAGGGGCTCCCGTCAGGAACGGTTTTCAGGGTCAACAGCCCAGCCCACCCATCCCAGGCAGCCGCTCACCCTGCGTCAGTCACAGCTTGGACAATGACACTGGATTCTCAACCATCGTGGAGGCCCCGGGGGCTGCAGTCAGCCCTAGAGTGAGCAGGCCTGTGGGGTCCTGCGCCCCCTCCAGGCAGAACCCACCCACTTGATCCGGGTCCACCAGCAGCCACCTGGCCCTCCCTTCCCTATCCGGCCCTTGCCCCACAGGCTGGGCCTTGACAGCAAAGCCAGGTGGGCTGGCTGGTCCTCTCACTTTGGGCCTCTGTGTCCCTGGGGCACTGAGCCTGTTCACAGAAGGCCTGTTCTGCCGAAAACATGGGTGTGGAGACTGCCCACACTGACTGCAGAGGAGAGAAACTCAGGAGGACTCGGGACCTGCCAATGCCAAGAAAAAGGACCCCCTCCTCCAGGAAGACCCCTGGGCTTCCACTCAGCTGGGGAGGCCAGGTGATCAGATGGTCCTGGGGCGTGAGCTGAGGCCAGAGGTCATGCTGGCAGAGATTGGGACCTTGAGCATTTGTGGGGGCAGGGTGGGGTGCCTGGTAAAGTGGGGTCTCTGAGCTGGTGGGGGGACCCTGGTGAGCTGGGTGGGGTGGGGGACTCAGAGTCTTGGCCAGCGGGACCTGAGCTTGGAAGAGGTGACCTGGACAGCCAGGCAGGCAGGCTGCTCCCAGCCCGCAGGGCTCCATCACCATCCAGGTCTTCTTACTGGGAGACCCTGGGCCGCCCCCACAGCCTCCCCTGCCCGCCCCCACAGCCACAGTGTGGGAAGCTAATAAGTGAGTTGGGCAGTTGGGTGGGTTGAGCAGGAGGTGGCCACATGTCGCTGGTCTCCCCTCAACCGCGTGGGCTCACAGAGAGGAAGTTTGCAGGGTGAAGTCCCCACGGGGCCGTCCAAGGCCCGTCTCAGATCCTGGAGGGGGTGGGGGCAGGCGGCAGCCTCCAGGGAGGCCCGACTCTGGGGAGAAAGCTAGAAGCCTCTGTGGTGTTTCGGTTAAACCAGCCCCAGAAAGTCCCACCCCCGCGATTTCCGTGGGCCCTGGAATTGGGCCTCCCGAAGTGGCTTCCAGCTCGCGTCCCCCCGCCTCCCGCTGCCACCCCCCTCCACACGGGCTGTTAATTCTCAGGCAGCTGGTTCTGTTTAGGGTTTGACTCGCCAGACAACTTAAAACGCTCTTCCTGCCCGAAACCAGCTCCATCAAAGGGAAGTGAGGCTCCTCTGCGGCTGATGTCACTGAGGCTTCCAGGACCTCAGCCCACAGAGCAGGAGGGGCCGAGGGCAGCGTGAGCGCCTCAGACCAGGGCAGGGGCTGCCCATGAGCCAGGAGGACCAGTGCCCCAGAGAAACTCAGCAGGGCATGCCGCCCCCTCCCCATCTCGGGACAAAGCCTCTTGTCCTGGGCCTGCAGGGGAGAAGCTGGGCGAGCGGGTCCTGCACCCTGAGGATGTGGAATGGTCCCCTCCAGGCTGATTTCTGGGGATTTGTCATCCACGTCATTGGCTGCAGGGGCTGTGGGCAGCTCCTGGTGGCTGTGGAGCTGGGGGGCTGCTTCCCATCTCCGCCCACACACGGGGCAGAGGAGGTGTCGGCAGCAAGAGCCTGGCTTTTAGGCTGGATGTCCAGTCCCTGCGTCTGAACCCACCCAGCTAGCTGTGGCCGCACACCCTAGTGCAGCTATGCGGGAGGGCCCAGGCCCTGTCTTGAGCTCTTCCACGTCCCCTCTCCTCTAAAACTGGAGAAAGGTCACAGGCAGTGTGACCGCCCCACACTGGCCCTGTGGCTGCTGTCAGCGCGCTCTGACCCTGCACGCCAGCGGCTTCCTGTGAGCAGCCCCAGGCTCGTCTGCTCCCGTGCCCCCATCTGAATGTCCCTGCCGTCCTGAGGGCTGCGGGAGGGGCTGCCCTCCAGATGGGGTGCTGACCAAGTGTGGTGGTGCTGCGGAGGGTTACTGAGAATTGCGAATGGCCAAACCCAGGGCCTGCACCGGAGGCCAGGTCCACAGGGGAGCCCAGGCCACCCTGAAGGACGGGTCCCTGGGCGGGGCGGCAGTCAGGAGAGGAGAAGTGCATCCTGGGTTTCGCCATCAAGCTGACCCCGGCATCAGAGTTAATGTACAATTCTAATAACACGAGAATAAGGCTCATTAGAGGTAGATATTGGGTTTTGTTCACATGTATTTCCAGCTTCTCTTAAACCAGTCACAGGATTTCTCGCCTCTCCTCTCCATCGAGGACACTTAGGTGCCTCTGGGTTTGGCTGAGTGCAGCTTTTGCCCGATCATGTCAGCCGGCACGCATGTGCACCCAGAGGTGCTGACACCCCACGGTGAGCCGGGCAAACCTGCCTGCAGCTCCTGCCGGCCCAACCCTGGCACCCTGGGAAGTTCCTCACGGGGGCAGCTCGCCCGACCCAAGCGCGGTGAAGAGTCCCCTGTGACAGAGGAGGAGCGGCAACATAGCCAGGGCACAGGTGTGACTCACGGGCCCTGCCCCTGTGACTGGTCACTTGGGTGCTTTTGCCCCTCATCCCAACCACTGTCATCATGGACCAGTCAGTGGCACTGGTCTCCTCATTCGGGCTGACCTGGGCTGAATGGGGGCCTTCAAACTTGGTCAGCATCCCAAATAAAAAGACAGGCTCAGCCATACAACCTTGAACTAGAAAACAGGCAAACAATAGAGAAAATCAGCAAAACAAAAACTGACTCTGACAAGATCAATAAATTTGATACGACACTATACTGATTTTTTAAAAGAGAGGAGTCACAAATTATTAAGAGAAATTAAATAAGAGACATCACTACAAATCTGACAGACATTAAAAGGACGATAAATATGATGACCAACTTAATGCAAATAAATTTAGACAACTTATATAAAATAAACAGATGCCTTGAAATATATAATTTATCTAAATTAACTCCAAAATATTCCTATAGTTATTAAGAAAATTGAATTCATTGTGTGAGAGGGCTTATTGGAGAATTCTATCAAACATTTAAGAAAGAAGTAATACCATTTCTGAATAAACTCTTTCAGAATACAGAAGGGAAGGGAACACTTCAAAATTTATTTGATGAGGCCATAATCATCCTGACACCCAAAGCAGACAAGAAAAAAGAAAAGAAAAACAGATCAACATCCCAAATGAACATAAACACAACATTCCTTAACAAAGTGTTAGCAAATTGAACCTGCCAATTTATACAAAGGATACTATACCATAGCCAACTGGGCTTACACAATTTTGGCTTAAGATTTTTTAAATCAAACAATATAATTTGCTATAATAGCAGAATAGAGGTGATGAACAATTTGATCACCTCAATAAATGCAGAAAGTATATTTGACAAAATGCTATGCCTGTTTGTGAAAGTACTCTAAGAAAATTAGGAACTGAAGTTAACTTTCTCTAAAATAAAAACTAAAAAAAAGAAGTTAACTTTCTCATCATAATAAAGAGCAACATCACCAACAACCACCAAAAATACCCTATAGCTAATACCATATTTACGTGAAAGACAGAAGACTTTCCCTCTAAATTCAGGAATATGCTAAGGATGTCCATTCTCACCATTGCTATTTGACATTGTACTGGAGATTTAACTAGCGAATAAAAGTGAGACAAAGAAATAAAGGTATACATAATGGAAAGAAGAGGTGTATTGGTCTGTTCTCACGTTGCTATAAAGAACTGCCCAAGACTGGGTAATTTATAAAGGAAAGAGGTTTAATTGACTCACAGTTTCACGTGGCTGGGGAGGCCCCAGGAAACTTACAGTCATGCAGAAGGGGAAGCCAACACCTCCTTCTTCACATGGTGGCAGGAGAGAGAAGTGCCAAGTGAGGGAAGCAAAAGCCCCTTATAAAACCATCCGCTCTCCCGAGAACTTACCCACTATCATGAGAATGAGGACATCATGAGGGAGCCACCTCCATGATCAAATCATCCCCACAAGGTTCCTCCCCAACATGTGGGGATTACAGTTGGGATTACAATTCAAGATGATTTGGGAGTTATCAGACATGAACCTTAAAATAAGTATGATTCATGAGACATCAGAAGATGAGATAGACAATTGTATTTTAAAAAGCAATTGACACTGAAGATAAAACAGAAATTCTAAAAGTAAAAAATGCAATAACTGTTGTTCAAAGGATTCGTAGCAGATCAGACACGGGAGAAGACAGAATACGTTAATTTGAAAATAGGTCAAAAGGAAGTGGGCAGACTGAAGGACAGAGACAGACAGAAAATATAGAAAAGCACAAAGAGACACGTGGCAGATGGTGAAAGGCTCTAACGTGTGTAAAATTTAAGGCCCAGGAGGAAAATGAAGACAGAAGGGCAGAGGCAATATCCGAAGAGATGGTAGCCAAGAATTTTTCTAAAACTGATAAAAGATATCTTACCACTAATTCAAAAAAAATCCACACAAAGAGGATGGCATACCTAGGTACATCATAAAAATGCTGTAAATCAAAGGCAATAAGAAAACCTTGAAAGAAACCAGAGGGAAAAAAGCACATTTTCTTCAAAGAAATAACAGAAAGGCAGACTTTCTTCCACAAATCTGAAAGCCAGAAGATAATGGAATGTCATCTTCAGAATATCAAAAGAAAGTAACTGCTAAGTTGGAATTCTTACCTAGGGAACGATCTTTCAAAACTGGCGGTTAAATAAAAGGCTGTTGAGACAAGTGGAAACAGAAAACGTATTGCTAACAGACCCACACCAGGCAGTCTCTACAATGGCCCCCAACGGTGCCGCCTCCCGGTATTCTCCACCTGAGTGAAGGCTGGATGTAGTGCCTCACTGCTAACACAGAGATTACAGCAAAAGGGATGGGATGTCATTCAAAGACTGGCCTAAAAAAGTTGTTTGCCTCTGTCCTGCTGGGCCACCATCTCCATCTCTCACCCTCTCGTGCCAGCTTTCTCTCTCACAGCTCCCACCCTGGGGCAATCAGGTCTCTGTATTGCACATGGGGAGCTGTAGTGAGAAACTGATGTCTCCAGACAGCGTGGGTAGAAGCCAGCCACAGCTGCACCAGTGAACAGGAAAGTCACTCTCCCCCACTCCAGCCTTGCAGGAAGGGCCAGCAGGAGGCCCTTTCACCTTATACCCTTTTGTGCCTTTTGAATTTTGCACAGTGAACATGCATTATCTTCTCAAAAATAAACAATAGTATCATAACAATTTAATACCAATCACTAGTAAAATATTAAAATTAATAACAAAAGGCAAAGAACATTCCCTGTAAACATGCACCTATCAAACAGGGGAACACAGCCTTCTCCCATGTCAGGCGGAGCCCTGCCTCCAAGATAGGAGGTGGCAGTCACCCAGGATTCCTATCCTTTCTCCTTCAGGAGAGTTTTTCAGTGCCAGTGAGGAGCATGTTCAGAGATTTACAACGCCCTTATCCACCCATCACAAATATGTATGTCTTCAGCTGCATAGCCTGACCTTTAAGATCAGAGGCTACATCTTTCTATGATCCAATCAGGAGAGGGCGGTGGGGATAGACAAAGGTTATGGGAATGGGAAATGGTGATGGTGGTGGTGGTGGTGGACGGAAAAGGGTCACAAAATCTTTGCGGCGACTCTTCTCATTGGGAGCTGGAAACTGCTTCTCCATTGAATCCTGGCTGGCCTTGTCACTTGCTTTGACCAACGAAACACGGCAAAGCAATGTATTATGACTTCTGGGCCCAGATCACAAGAATCTTTGCAGCTTCTGCTCTCGTTCTCCTGGAATACTGACACCACATAAACAAGTCTGAGTTAGACTTCCAGAGACGTCACATGGAGGAAAACCAAGGCACCCTGACCAACGGCCTACCCTACAAGACCTGTAAGTAATGCCATCTTAGATTATTCTAAGGCCCCCTCCAAACCTTCAGCTGATGGGCACCACATAATGAGTTCAGGTGCAGACTTCAGATGAGCTGCCCAACTGAGCCCAGTCCAAAGTGTCAACCCACAAAAACAGAGCAAATTAAATGGGTGATTATTTTAAACCATTAAGTGTTTGGATGGTTTGCTATGGAGAAATAGATAACCGATTCAGATTGTGATAGGGACTGTGGTGACAGTAAGGGTGAGGGTAATGGTGATGGCTGTAGTAGTGACAGTAGTGGGGAGCTCATGGTGATGATGGTGGTGGTGATGGTGATGGTGGCAGTGGTGGTGGTGATGGTGATGGTGGTGATGGTAGTGGTGGTGGTAATGGTGATGGTGGTGGTGATGATGGTGGTGGTGGTGATGGTGGAGGTGATGGTGGTGGTGGTGATGGTGGTGGAGGTGATGGTTGGTGGAGGTGATGGTGGTGGTGGTGGTGATGGTGGTGGTGGTGGTGGTGGTGATGATGGTTGATGGAGGTGATGGTGGTGGTGATTGTGGTGATGGTACTGATGGTGGCAGTGTCAGTGATGTTGATGGTGGTAGTGGTGATGATGGTTGGTGGAGGTGATGGTGGTGGTAGTGCTGATGGTGGTGGATGGTGGAGGTGATGGTGGGGGTGGAGGTGGTAGTGGTGTTGATGGTTGATGGAGGTGATGATGGTGGTGGTGATGGTGGTGGATGGTGGAGGTGGTGGTGGTGGAGATGGTAGTGATGGTGGTGGATGGTGGAGGTGACGGTGGTGGTGATGGTGGTGGTGATGGTTGGTGGAAGTGATGATGGTGGTGGTGATGGTGGTGGATGGTGGAGGTGATGGCGGTGGTGGAGGTGGTAGTGATGGTGGTGATGGTTGATGGAGGTGATGGTGGTGGTGGTGATAGTGGTGGTAGGATGGTGCTGGTGGTGGTGGCGGTGGTGATGGCAATGGTGGTGATGGTGGTGGTGGAGATGATCATGGAATTACTGGTGGCAGTGATAACTCTGGACCCCCTAAGTCATCAGAGTAAAACTGAACTTCACTTCACATGAATTGTGTGTGTGTTGTTGTGCTACAGTTCTTTGAAACTGTGCGTTGTCTTTGGAGTCACATGTACCTTTGAGAATCCAATTAAATCTCCAGGCTCTCTTCCCAGGAAAATAGACAGAGTATTGTTCAGACTTTGGGGACTTGTGGCACTACACTCTGGGTTGAACCCACCGTGGGAAGCCCCCTGCTGTGCTTACCTGGCATTCTCACATCACAAACAGGTAGTGTCGACCACCAAAGTGCTTGTTAGTGGGACCTTCCTGAGCCAGCAGAGAACTGAGTTGCATGACATTCGTGGGATCCCTTCAGTTAGCACTGCACAGCTGCTTAAGAGGAAGGTTTTATTCAGACACAAATATTTTGAAATATTTATAATTGAATCCCATGTAGTTTAGATAACCTCCGAGGTGGGCAGGGGAAACACACCACCCTGGACTGGGAGATAAAAGGCCTGCAATTTTCTTCCCAGCCACTTATCCTCCTCTGGGAGCCTCAGTCTCCTCTCTGTGGGACAGGGCAGGCCTCCCTGGCTCCTCCTGGGTGCAGGACCGATGAGGCTGTCACCCGCAGCCTTTGTCCCCCGAATTTCCTGCTACCTGGTGTCACCCCAGCTGGGCCCTGAGCACACCGCCTCTGGTCCTGGTTTCCACTGAAAACGTAAACTGTGGTCCGTGCCACATTCTCCAGCACTCTTGCATTATTGTGAAACTAAAAGGCAGAAATACAAGCGCTCGGCAGCCAAAGAACCTGGTGAGATTACTAAGAATAATGTGGTGACTCTGGCTTAATAAATAAAAGCTCAAGGATCCACCACCAACTCTGAACACACACCCTGTGACACAAACTGACTCATGTGCAATTGCCCATGAACGGCAGGTTTTGCCATTTTTCATTTTTTTCTGAGTTGTCCCTGGAGAAAGTTGTGATCAAGTGTGGCTGGGGAGAACTTTAGTTCTGTCTGTCGGCTCCGTGAGTAAGCAGAGGAAAGTCTGACTGCAGAGGCGTCTTCCCAAATGTCCGTGAAGTAAAAGGCTGCAAACCCGAGAGCAGCGCCCCGCCCCGAGTGGCCCATGTGGTGTCCAGAGTGTGCGAAAGCCAGGAAGAGCTTTTCCACACGGAGCCACCTAAGGCCTGCCTCAGCCTGGGAACACATGGGCAGAAAAGGAACAGCACGACTTCCTTCTCCTCCGGGCCAGGCCCGTGGGCACCCACAGCCCAGATAGAGAAGGTCCCTTCTCTAAAGGCATGCATGTGTCTTACTGCAGCTCCCAGTTCGCCCCCTAAGCGTCAACACACACCCATGTTGCTCCCTCTCCCTCTATCTCCCCACAGACAGGATGGAACGCAGCCCAAAACTCAGTCATGTGACCTTGGCATCAGCTCGCTAGTTAAGAACCATGCCTGGAGGTGCCCTGAGCCCTGGCCACCAACCTCAGCCGTGCGCTTTGTGGTGCTGAAGGATGCTGTCCGTGGGGCAGCCTGCAGCCTGCTCAGGGTCAGAGGGGCCTCGGGTCCTGGGAATGCTGGTTGAGGCCGGATTACCTCAGTGCCCCTCCGCGGCCTGCTGCACCCAAACACTCTGAGAAAAAGAGCAATCACCCAACTTCAGTCTCAAAATGAGACCACTGAGAAGGGGGTGATGAGGGGGAAGCAGACCCGAACCCACCAGCAAGGCTAAAACGCCAGCCCCACCCGAGTGGGACAGACAGGAGGGAACCCTCCTCACACAAGGAGGCAGTAAGGCCAGAGCCCTGTCCCTCCAGGGTGCTCAGGAGAGAGCCACCACGTGGCTGCCACACTCAGGCACACTGAGACACAGACACGCACACTCACACTCAGCCTCAGACGCAAACACACAGCACACACTCACAGATGCACACACCACACAGTCACACTCAAATGCAGACACACCACACCACACGCTCACAGATGCACACACACTCACACTCAGATGCAGACACACCACACCACATGCTCACAGATACACACACACACTCAGATGCAGACACACCACACCACACGCTCACAGATGCACACATACTCACACTCAGATGCAGACACACCACACCACACGCTCACAGATACACACACACTCAGATGCAGACACACCACACCACACGCTCACAGATGCACACACACTCACACTCAGATGCAGACACACCACACCACACGCTCACAGATACACACACACACTCAGATGCACACACCACACCACACGCTCACAGATGCACACACACACTCAGATGCAGACACACACCACACCACACGCTCACAGATGCACACACACTCAGATGCAGACACACACCACACACACAGATGCACACACATTCACACTCAGATACAGACACACCACACCCACACACAGGTGCACACACTCACACTCAGATGCAGACACACACCACTCACTTGTACTCAGTCTCAGACACACACCACACACCACACACATTCACAGATGCACACACACTCGCACTTAGATGCAGACACAGCATGCCACACGCTCACACTCACACAGGACACACACTCACTTGCACACTCACACCACCTGTCCTTTCACACCCCTGGCTCCAGGCACCACCACCCACTCAAGGGCCCGCTTGGGGTGGCAGAGGACAGATGTACCTGACGCTGCCGTGGGAGGTGTGGGCCATAAAAGGTGGTGCAGGCACAGCTGGCACGAGCTGTAAGGTGGTCCAGCCCGAGTCCAGACACCAGGACAGACTGGAGGCTGCGGCCGCGGTGGACCTTGCAGGCCCTGCGGACGGCAGGCAGGGGGATTTGGGGACGAGCTCTCAGGCATCCAGTGGACGGTGGCTTTCTCCTCCTTACACTGGGAAGTTCCCCACTGCCTGGGCACACTTCGAGCACAAGACACCACCACAGACCCCCACCCCAGCCACCCTACCATCCACCAGGAAAGGAGACAGATGAGAGAAGGCCTGTCCTCAGGGGCAGAGAGAGAAGGCCCTGAAGACCAGAGGGCATTCACGCAGGGCCGAGGGCCACCGGGCAGCCCAGGGACCCTCTGCTCCGGGGAAGGGGCTAAAGCCTTTGCAAACGGGCTGAAGAGGGGCCTCACCCGCAACTGCTCCGCCCCCTTCCGGGACAGCTCTGAAGGGGGCCCAGCCCCAGAGCCCAGGGTGGTCTCCCCAGCCCAGCCTGCACCTCCCCTCCAGGAGGGGCCCTGGCCCTGGCTGCCAGGCTGTGACCAGGGTGGGGAGTGGGGATTCCAGACACAGCCCTACCAGGGACCGCTCTCACTCTGTCCCCTGCCTGGGCTCAGGTGGGGACCTCACGGTGGTCCCAGGGCCCAGCGCAGGCCCCCCTGTGGAAAAGGCTGGCAGGGGTGGTCACCGCACGCCCGGGCCCTGCCCGAACCCGGGCCCTGCCCGAACCCGGGCCCTGCCTGAACCCGGGCCCTGCCCGAACCCGCGCCCAGACTCTGCTGTCCCTGCCGCCCAGGCTCCCCCGTCTCAGGCCCCCGGAGCAGCAGTTTCTGCAGCGGCTGTTGACCCGAGGCCTCTCGCCGGGGGCCACACGGGGTGCGGGAGGAGGCCTGCACCCCTCAGGGCAGCTCCTACCGAGGGGCGAGTCCTAGAGCCCCCTCGGCCCGGCGTGGGGCGCGCGGTCCCCAGCACCCAGAGCCCCGGAGGTGACACAGCCCGCCAGGTCGCCCGGGAAAGGGGGCGGGGACGGGAAGTCCGAGCGGCGCCCGCGGCGGGCCGGGGCTGGGGAGGGGACTTGGCCCGGGCTGCCGAGGGGTCCGCACCGCTCCGCCTCTTCCCTCCCCGGCCCCCCTCGCTCCCATCCCCCTCCCGCTCCCCGGGCCCCCCCTTCCGCCGGTCCCATCTGCGGGGCCGCAGCGCCTCCTGGTGTCGGGCCCGGCGGGCGGGGCAGGTATAAAGGGGCGGCCGCGGCCCGGTCCCCTCCCTCCCGCTTCCTCGCGCCCGCGCCCGGGGCCGTCCGGACCGGAGCCTCCTCGGGACCAGGTGAGCGCGTCCCGAAGCCCCGAGCCCGGAAGCCGCTGGGCCTGCGGCGGCGACCCCGAGTCTCGGGAAGGCGACGGCTGCGCCCCTCGGGCCCCGGGAAGGGGACTCCGGCCCCAGGGACGGCGCACGGGGCTTCGGGCTCCTCCCTGCCCGGACGGCCCCACGTCTCGGGGATCCGAACCCTCGGCCGGCGCCCGGGGCCACCTCCCCGCGGCCTCTTCTGAGGCGGCGCCCTCCTGGACGGGGTGGGGGCCCCGGTCTGCGCCCGAGCTCGGTGCTGGGACCCCGCTCCCCGGAGGACCCCGGCACCGCGCGCCTCCCCAGGGCCTGGCTGCAGCTCCCGCCCGCGGGGAAGACGCCCGGCTGAGCGGGGCCTCCGGGGGCGCAGGGCCTCTCCCGGGTCCGGAGTGGGGGGCGGGGGCGGGGGCGGGAGGGCCTTGGGTGCCCGAGGGCGGGACGGGGAGGGCGGGGACGCGAACGCGGGTTGAGCCGACGCCCCATCCCTGTGCCCTTCCCGACGAGAGCCCCCAGGCCGGCGAGAGACTCAGGCCCCGGAGAGACCGCGGATGGGGGCGGCTCCACCGGGAGGCGGGACCCCGGCCGACAGCGACCCCAGCCCCTACCCGGGCGCCCACACCCGCCTCGGGGCTCCGCGGGGGGCGGTGGTGGAACCCCCAGCCCAGCACCCCGGGCCCAGGTCTCCACTGCCGGCAGCCACGCGGATCGCTGCCTGTGAGCGGTGCCCCTCGGGCTGAGCCCGCCGGGACCCTCCCTGGACGAGGACGTGCCCTGTGGGGTCCGTACCCGGAGCCGAGGGGCCTGCGGTGCGCGAGCGTCCTTCTTCTTCCCGCCCCGAGGCCCCTCGCGCGTCCACCCCGGCGATTATTTTAAGGAAGGCCGGGCCGGGCGCGGTGGCTCGCGCGGGTAATCCCAGCGCTCTGGGAGCGCCGGGCATTGAGCCGAGATCGCGCCATTGCCCAAAAAAATAAAAAAATTAAAATTAAAAAAAGGAAGGAAGGAGGGAAAAAAGTGAAAAAAGTGTCCAGTGAGATGCTTTGGTTTAAACACGGCCCTGCGCGCTGACTGGCTGCCTCCTGCCGCCTCTCACGCTCTGCGAAGTCGGGGCCTGATGCGGGGCCCCCTCGACAAGCTGGGGTCCCGGCGCTGCCCATGGGAGGAGGGCCCAGCCCTCGGGGCACTCGCTGGACGGGGCTACGGGGCGCCCGGGATCCGAACCCCAGCCCGGCCTGCAGTGAAGGCTGCAGGGGGCAGGGCCGCGGGAGTCCTGCTCTCAGGAGGGCGGCGGCTGGGCCCAGAGGGCGGAAACCTCAGAGGCGCATCCCAGAAGCGGCGAGGAACCGGTCTCCACAGTGGATAGGAGCACGTTTTCCTCTCATTTCCTAGATGAGGAATGATGCCTTGTTGGGGTTTGTTCTGCACGTCTGGTTTTTGCGCAGCACAAGGTTATTGGGCTATTTAATCAGTGACCGTGTTCGTGTCAATTTCCCCGTGTTCCTAATGGATGTTCTCGTCAAACTGAAGCCCATGGAGCACCACCTCGCGTCGCTCCTTCCCGCAGCCCCTGGCAGCCACCATGCCACTCTCGGTTTCCATGAATTTGGCCACTTAGGTGACTCATAGGAGTGAAAACGCATGAAATTTCTCCTTTTGTCCCTGGCTTATTTCACTTGGCTTAATGTCCTCCAGACTGGTCCATGCTGTAACGTATGTTATCACGTCTTTTTAGCCTTTTTAGGGCTGCATAATATTCTACTGCATGGGTGTACCTATTGTGTTTATCCATATTCATCTGTCCCTGGACACGTGGGTTGCTACCATGAATGACGCAGCTGTGAAGACAGGCATACGGATTCTACTTCCAGATCCTACTTTTGGTTCTTTTGAGTGTGTACCCAGAAGTGGAATTGCGGATCATTCGATTTTTTAATATTTTTGAGGAATTGCCTCACTGTTTCCCACACTGGCTGCACATTTTGGTTTCTCACCAGCAGGGCACCCAGGGCCAGTTTCTCCACATCCACACCAACAGATGTCATTTTCTGGGGGTGTTGTTTTTTTTTTTAATGTTAACCATCCCAATGTGTGTGAGGTGGTACCTCATTGTGGTTTTGACTTGCATTTCCCTCATGATTAGTGACACTGAGCATCTTTTCATGTGCTTATTGGCCGTTTATATATCTCTTGGGAGAAATACCTGTTTAAGTCCTTGACCCATCTTTGAATCAGGTCGATTGTTTTTGTTGTTGTTGAATTTTAGGAGCTCATTATATATTCTGGACATTAATCTCTTACTAGATACACAACTTACAGATATTTTCTCTCATTCTCTGGGTTGTCTTTTTACTCTGTTGATGGTGTCCTTTCACTAGATAGATGTAAAAATGTTTTTAAATGTTGGTGTAATCCAGTTTATCTATTTTTTTCTTTTGTTGCCTGTGCCCTTATCGTCATACCCAGGAAATCATCACTCAAACCAATGTCATGAGAGTGTTGCCCCATATTTTCTTCTAAGGGTTTTAAAGTTTTAGGTCTTAAAACCTAAAGATCCAGGGCATGGATCCATTTTGAATTAATGTTTATGTATGGTATTAGGTAAGGGTCTAACTTCATTCTTTTGCATGTGGATATCTAGTTTTCTCACCATTTGTTGAAAAGACTGTGTTTATTAATGGTCTTGGCAGCCTGGTTGAAAGTCATATGTCCAAGGGTTTCTCTCTGGGCTCTCTGTTTTATTCCGTTGGTCTGTATGCCTGTTTTAATGCCAGTGTCTCACTGTTGATGACTGCAGCTTTGTAGTAAGTTTTGAAATTAGGAGATGTGAGTCCTCCAGCTGTGTTCTTTTCTTTAAGGATTTTTGTTGGTTTTGTTGTTGTTGTTTGTTTGTTTGTTTGTTTGTTTTGGCTATTCGGGGTCCCTTAAGATTCCATATTTGGAATTTGGGTGATATTGACATCTTAATAATGTTAAGTCTTTCAATCTAGGAACAAGGATGTCTTTTTTAATGTCTTCTTCAATTTTTTCAAAAAAATTTTGTGGTTTTCATCATAGAGGTCTTTCACCTCCCAAGTCAATTTTTAAGTATTTTATTCTTTTTGAAGTAAATAGAATTGTTGTCTTAATTTCCTTTGGATTGTTCATTGTTAGCGAATAGAAATACAACTGATTTTTATGTGTTGACTATGTATTCTGCTATTTTGCTGAATTTGTTTATTAGTTATAACAGTTTTCGTGGAATTTTTAGGGTTTTCTACATATAAGGTCAAATCATCAGTCAACAGAGAAAATTTACTTCTTTCTTTCCAATTTGCACGTCTTTTATTTCTTTTTCTTGCCCAATTGCTCTAGCTAGAACTTCCAGTACAGTGTTAACAGAAATAGTGAAATCAGGCATCCTTTCTTTCTTTCTGACCTTAGAGGAAAAGCTTTCAGTCTTTCACCACTGAATATGTTGTTCACTGTGACTTTTTCATATAATATGGCTTTTATTATGCTGAGGTAGTTTCCTTCTGTTCCTAATTTGCTGAATGTTTTTGTCATGAAAAGCTACTGAATTTTGTCATATGCTTTCTCTGCATCAACTGCAATGATCATGTGAGAGGCTTTTGTTCCTCCTTCATTCTGTTAATGTGTATTACATTGATTGATTATTTTGTATGTTGAACTATCCTTGCATTCCAGAAATAAATCCCACTTGGTCAATTCATTAAATTCAATTTAATTATATAAAACGTTACTGAATTTAGTTTGCTATTAATAGTATTTTCTTTACGATTTTTGCATCAATTTTCATAAGGAATTGTCGTTTTCTTCTCTTGAAATATCTTTGTCTGGCTTTGGTATCAGAGTAATGGTGCCCTCACAAGAATGAGTTAAATAGTGTTCCCTTCTCTTCAAGTTTTTTGAAAAAATTTGGGAGGATTTGATATTAGTTCTTTATGTGTTTCATAGAATTCACCAGTGCAGCCATCATGTCCAGAGGTTCTTTATCAGGAGATTTTTTATTATTGATTCACTCTCCTCGCTAATTATAAGTCTATTCAGATTTTCTATTTCTTCATGATTTTGTCTTAATAGGTTTTGTGTTTCTGAAAATTTTTCTGTTTTATCTGTGTTATTAAAATTGTTGTCGTATAGTTGCTCATAGTACAGTCTTACAGTATTTTTTATTTCTGTGGAATTGGTAGCAGTGTTGCCACTTTCACTTATAATTTTGGTAATTTGATTTTCTTCTTTTTTTTTCAGTCCATCTAGCTAAAGGCTGGTGAATTCTGTTTATCTTTTCAAAGAACCAACTTTCATTGTATTTTATTTTCTCTATTATTTGTCTATTCTCCGTTTTGTTTATCATTGGTCTGATCTTTATTGTTGCCTTCTTTCTGC